ACACAGAAACCACCTCCACCCCCGCAAAAACCCCTCTCTCTCTCTCTCTCTCTCTCTCTCTCTCTCTCTCTCTCTCTCTCTCTGTGATCTACCTCAAATGATGGCTGTCAGGTGACAGTAGGAAAAGGGCCAAGCCATGAGGAAAAAAAATATCAAATAGGTTCTGGACAAAACTTCATTTTTCTCAGGGTTCCATAATCCAGCATTCCTAGAACCCATTCAGGACTTGTAGCATGAACCTATGATGCTATAGTAACAAACAGACTATGGAATGTCCTCCCCACTGAGATTCATCTGACACCAACGCTGACGACATTTCGGCGAGAGGTCAACACCTTCCTGTTCCAGAAGGCTTTTAATTGAAATAATAACTGTGGGTCCTGATGGCAATTTTTGGAGTATCTATTTTAATTGTGTTTAAATCGTTGTATCTTTTCATTGTGTTTTAATTGTTGTAAGCCGCCCAGAGACCTTTGGGTAGAGTGGGCGGCATATAAGTTAAATAAGTAAATAAATAAACACTGTCTTGAGTTCACTAGAGAAATGTAGTTTAGAATCACTGATTAATGAAATTGGAAGAGGCCTATAAGGGCCATTGAGCTGAACCCCTTGATCAGTGAAAAAATTAAAATTAAAGCAGACCTGACAGGTGGTCGTCTATATCCTTCTTAAGGCCTCCAGTGTGGGAGCCCTCCCCCAACTCCCAAGGGAACTGGTTCCACTGTCGTACTGCTCAGGAGCCCCAAAAGGGACGGGGCCCCCCCAGAGACCTATTGATCCGTGTCGGGTCTCTGTGTGTGCTCGTGTGAACGCCCTGAGGGGGGAAAGGGAGGTGAGCCGGAAGAAAGAGCGTGAGAACGCACATTGGCGTCTGTGGGAGTGAATTATTGTTGTTGTTGTTGTTGTTTTCTCCTCGTCGTCATCGTCGCCGCCCCTCCCCCCCCTCTCACTCACCCTCTCATGGTGAACTTCGCCACCACCAGCCGGGAGCCCGCCGCGCTCAGTTCGCTCTGGAACTCGGCGTCGTTGGCGATCACTTTCACCCCGACCATCCCGGCAGAAGAAGGACCGGCGGCGAGAGCAACAGTAGCAGCAGCGACACCGCCTCAGCCGGTTATGTGCACAGTCACCGCGGGAAGAAAGGGGAAGGGGAAGGGAGGGGGAGAGGCGCCCAGCATGCACCGCAGCAGCCCCCCGCGCAGGCGCAGAGCGGGCTGCCGCCTCTTCCTCCAAGCAGCCTTGCCTCGGAGAACGGGTTCATTCGGAATCCTGTCTAGAGGTAGGGAAGCGGGATGTTGACGGCCGCAACTTCCGGTGAAAGAGCGAAAACCGCGCCCACCCATCCACCCACTCACTCCCCGGCTCGGCCGTGCTTTGCTATTGGGCGCCCAGCGGCCCCGCTCTAAAAGGACAGCTTCCCTCCTCTTCTATTCGTCGAGTGGAAATGGAAGAGCGGGCAGCCCGTTCGGTTTGACAGCCGGAAGTGTCTTAAAGACTACCTTACACGGCCTTTTCTGCGATCTCTTTGGGATCGCTGGAGGTGCCATTTTAAAGGTGGAGAGGAAACGCCCCTCCCCCCCCAAGGCTGAGGTGCATTTTTTTTAGCCAGTTTGCCATTTTAGCTGTTGGCAATTCCTGAGAGCGGAATTAATTTTGTAATCGCGGGTTTATTGTCATCTGTTTGTTTCATTTATTTATAGGCGGTCTTTCTTCCCAACTACCGGACCCAAGGCGGCTCACAAAATGAAAAGAATAGAATTCAAAACATAATTAACTATTTTTTTAAAAAAAACACAATTAGACTGTATACTAAATAAGATACAATCGAATAATTAAAAGCAGGTCAACCTTAAAAACCTAACTGAAAAATGGCATTCAGGAATCAATCGTGTTTTTTTAAAAAAACTGATTTGTTAATTGTTAAGAGCCTGCCTGAAAAGGGGGGTCTTCCGCGGTGACGTGGGAGCTGCCACAGAAAAGTTAGGGTCTCCTGCAAAAACATGCATCTCTTAACGATCACCCATCTGATATTTCTCCACATTGATACCCCTGAGTAGGGTTGCCAGATGTCAGGCAAAAGGAGGACATGTCCTTTTTAGCCTAATGTCCTCCATCAGGCAGGCAAAGATAAAAAGTCAGGCTTTTGTATATTTTATGCTATCATTTTGGATGGGAGGGGGAGAGGTGGAAGGACCCCCTTCCCCCTGGCTTTCCCCTCCACCACCTACCCGCCCACCCCCAGTATTTTGAAAAAAAAAAACTCCATTGAATTTATTTTTAATTTTTAACATGACTGTTTCTTGGTCGGTTCACTAAGAGACATTTATTGGCAGCTATTGTAATAAAATTGTATTGATTGTGGGTTTAATCTGGAATGATTCAAATGAAACATTCAATATGTCCTCCTTTGTCCTCCTATTTGTCTTTCAATGTCCTCCTTTTGGTACCCGTGTATCTGGCAACCCTACCCCTGAGGGATAAATCTTAAACTCTCTGAAGGCAGAATCCTGGAAGAGGAAAGGGGAGGGAGTGAAGGAAGACATGACATTTCACACGCTCGTTACCCAAATTTTGAGACCAAATTCTCTAAATTTGAACAACAACACAAACCCTGCCCAACACGACAATCCCAAAGCGATGGACCTATTTGAGATTGTGGATATTAGAGAATGCCTTGCCACCTTTTCTTTTTCAGAAAAAAAAGCCTGCAGTCCTAATCGAATCCTATGGGGTTTACTCTCAAGGAACTGCATAGGGGCCGACGTGAATTTCAGTGGGGTTTAAGCAGGGACCAGGGTTTTTCACAGACATCTGGGCTGCATTCCCACGAACAACCTCTTCACTGCATCTGGAGAAACCAGCGCATTCCTGATCCGCGCTGCATTTTCTGAATAAAAGCCTACAGCCTTGTGACATTATCGTGTAAGAGATTAATTTCATAGTCAGTGAAGTCATGGAATAATTACTTTAAAATCCGTTCTGATGCAACATAAATCTTTTTGTGTCACGGGAAACGGGATGCTCGCACGAGGAAACGGTTCAGAAACTGGACAGTATTCCAGTTTCTGTTTTGATCACTTCCTTTTCTCTCCAAGCACAGGGCAAGAGTGAAGAGCTGCAGCCTCACGAACGTTTCCTTGGGAATCAGCCCTCTAAAAATCAGGAGAGGTCACTTCCCAATAGTATAGACTTCATTATCGTGCAGAAGGGGAGGACCTGATTGCGCGTTTTTCGCATCCCCAGTTAAATGTTATTATTATTATTAATTTTATTTATATCCCGCCTATCTGGTCGGATCAGGACCACTCTAGGCGGCTGTTCCTGTACCATAGCTAGATCCTTCTGTTGCAGTGAGATTTTGCTCTCAAGTAAGCGGGAGCAAAGTTGGGACTTCAAAGGCCAGCTCATTCCCATGTACTGTATAGAGGAGCAGTCTCGGTTATTACTGTATATTGAACTTTTTATTTTTTATTATTTTATTTATTAAATTTTTCCCCCGCCCCTCTAGACAGTGTCTACTCGGGGCGGCTTACAAATAAAACACAGCAGTACAACATATGTAACATCTTAAAATTACAACTAAAATTAACTCCTGTTATCATTGTATATTGCTGTAAAAATGTTATTATATATTACTGTTTGTATCTTGTCTGTTGTGAGACGCCCAGAGTACACAATATCTAGATGGGTGGCATATAAATGCAATAAATAAATAAATAAATAAATAAATAAATAAATAAATAAATAAATAAATAAATAAATAAATGGGC